ACATCAACACGACATTTTGTCTGGCCAGACACTTGCTTTACACAGATTTGCGTTTCTTTTCAGGATCGCGTTCGTCAGCGCGATCTTAGCATACACATGTTTTTAGGCAGACTTGTGTTTCATTTCAAGATTGTGTTCGTCAACGCGATCTTAGCATGCATATTTTACCAGTTTGACCAATATAGCGTCGAGAATAATCTGCTTGCTGGTGGCAACACCTGCCTCTCAAATCTTGCGAGGCAGATTGCATGTTGCCTTGATGCTCAGATCTACTTTCTCCGCCTACCCTTGTCTCATTCTTCCCCTCCCTCGAGTGCCGAAGCGTTTTGGGGGGCGCACCGAGGGGGCGCCAAAGTGCGCCTGGGGATGAAAGGGGGACTTAGGGTACCTCTTCTTACCTCACTTTGCAGCTGTGGCTTCGCTGTTTTTAAGCCTCAGCTGCCTTTTTGACTTAAGGACTAAAGGAGTTCAGAGGTTACGGATTCCTATCCTCTGTTCCCGAGTCCTGCCTTCGCGGGCGGGATTCGGGACGGGGGGTGTGGAAGGAGCCCGTGTAATACCCTCATATATACTCCTTATCCTTACCTCTCCCGCACCTGGCCGTTTGGGCTCAGGTACTGAGTTGGAGCGATCGTACCTTGATCGCTTGGGAGGGAAAGAGATCCATCTATCCCTCCATCTCTCTACCAACGGATCAGGGGTTCTGTACCCGTGTACTTCAACCCCATACACACCTAAGGCCCAAGTGGCACGGTCCGCATGCAGTTCCACCTCCATTTCGGCACACCCCTCACACGTTTCGTGGCCCCATAGAGAGCTCCGCCTAAGGCCCAAGTGGCAGGGTCCGCATGCAGTTCCACCTCCATTTCGGCGCACCCCTCACACGTTTCGCGGCCCCATAGGGAGCTCCACCGAGGGCGCCAATGGCAGGGCCCAACCATACAGTTCCACCTCCATTTCGGCGCACCCCTCACACGTTTCGCGGCCCCACAGGGTGCTCCACCGAAGGCCCCAGTGGCAGGGTCCGCATGCAGTTCCACCTCCATTTGGCGCACCTCTCACACGCTTCGTGGCCCCATCGGGTGTTCCACCAACGACGATACTTACAACAGCGGCATTCGGAATTGCGTATGGTTGGGCCCTTCGCCAGGATAATGTCTCTCTCTCTCTCTCTCTCTCTCTCTCTCTCCCTCTTTCCACATTATCCTTACATCCTCTCTTCTTCCGCGTTCTCCTCGTCCCCTGTTTCCTCCTCGTGCCTCCCCCTCCTTTCCCAAGATAACTGAAACGCAGTCCTTTTTTCCACTGTATGCTCCCCGCCTTCTCTGATCAAGGCAACTCGCCAGGGCAAAGTTGCTGGACGGGCTGGTGTGGATGCGCGAGGCTTGAAGAGGTCCTTGCGGGCTCAGGCGGCATGCGAAAATCCGCCGCCGCGTTTGTGCGGCATTGGTTTGTTCAGTGAACGTGGTTTAGGTCGCGGGTGGGTCGCGGGCCCTCCACCTCCACCTGGAAGGAATGCAAAAGCAGCACGCCGCAGGCGCCAACAAAAATTGGTTTGTACACTGAACGTGGTTTGGGTCGCGGGTGGGCCGCGGGTTCTCCACCGGGAACGAATGCAAAAGATGCCTGCCGCAGGCGCCGAAACATGTAGTTTGTACCCTGATCGTTGTCGCGGATGGGCCGCGGGCTCTCCACTTGAAACGAATGCAAAAGATGCCCGCCGCAGGCGCCGAAAAATGTTGTTTGTACCCTGAACGTGTTTTGGGTCGCGGGTTGGTCGCGAGTTGGTCACGGGGTGGGTCGCGGGCTCTCCACCTGGAAGGAATTTGCAAAAAAAACCGCCGCAGGCGCCGAAAATGGTGGTTTGTACCTTCAACGTGGTTTGGGTCGAAGGTGGGTGGCGGGTGGGCCGCGGGGTGGGTCGCGGGTGGGTCGCGGGTGGGTCGCGGGTGAGTCGCGGGTGGGTCGCGGGGTGGGTCGCGGGGCGGGTCGCGGGGTGGGTCGCGGGGTGGGTCGCGGGGTGGGTCGCGGGGTGGGTCGCGGGGTGGGTCGCGGGGTGGGTCGCGGGTGGGTCGCGGGTGGGTCGCGGGGTGGGTCGCGGGGTGGGTCGCGGGTGGGTCGCGGGTGGGTCGCGGGGCGGGTTGCGGGTGGGACGACGACAACAAACAACAACAACAACAACAACAACAACAACAACAACAACAACAACAACAACAACAACAACAACAACAACAACAACAACAACAACAACAACAACAACAACGAGAATCCGCACCGCGGAATTCCACTTCAGCCACGCACCCAGGGACAGTGATTGACCGTTCGGCCCCCTCACTCTGATACAAACTCGGAGGTCCGCGCGGACTTTTAGGATCTGCGTTGGACCCCCCTGGCGGCGTCTCCGGCAACGCCCCTGGCGCGCTCCGCGCGCCAAGGAGATGGTCCAGAACCGATCCGAGAAATCCGCGCGGACCTCCACATGTTTGTGTTTATGTTGTCAATGCTCGTTCCCCTAACTCGGGACTGCGCCGACTCTCAATACGACGACCACGACCAGGACGACGACGACGACGACGACGACGACGAACTACATCGACGACGACGACGACGACGACGGCCGACGCCTGCGCCGAGTGGCGCAATGTATCTGGTGAGCGGGGTCACGAGCACCACATGCTGGAGCAGGGCGCGCGCTCAAGGTCTGATGCTGGCCGCGCTGTGGAGCCCCCCCCTCCTCTCCCCCTCCCCTCCCCCGCCTCTGAAGTCGGGCATGTCCCTCTACAGGGGAATAATTCAAACATAGTCCGAATATCGTATGGGGACTATTTTGATGATTTCGAATATGTTTGAATATGCTTTGAGTATTTTTAGTTTTCGTACAGAATCCGCTTGTAGGAGGACATGTCCGACCTGACCCTCCTCCTTTTCACCAGCGAGATCGTTCCGCTACGCGCAGAGTGCCTGCTCGGCAATCCTGTGGGGAGAGAAGCATGCTTGCGTCGGCGTGACCGATCGTAAGTCCCCCATCAACGGAGCCTGGCCGTTTGTGAGCAGCTGCTTTTGTCGAGCAGCGGGACACGCTGGTCTGTGCTCCTGTTCCCCGTCTTTCTCTCATGCATGGCCGGCGCCCGCTTGGTGTTACTCTGCGTGTCCAGCAGGCCTCCTCGCGGTCGCGGCCGCGCGACCCCCCGCTCCTTTCCCGGGGCCGCGCGCTTGGCCCAAGCGGCCTGGCTGTCTGCCGCCCGAGATCCACGGCCACTCCAGTGCTCACCAGGGGCGAAGGAGCCATAACTCGGACGTGTCCCTCTACAGGCGGAATGTTCCAAAAGGGTCCAGAGATGGTGGGGGGACGGCTTGTTCTGCTATGTGTTAGCTTTCTTGGGGGTGTTGCAATTTGTCCTCCAGAGTCTCAGAGCGTGAATTACCTACCCCGCTTTCGCTTCCAAGCAAAACCAAGTCATACCACGCGCCTCCTCGTCAAGCGACCTGTCCAGTACAGGCCGCAGTTTGGCATCGCTTGGTATCTCTTGGAAGCGAGGGTGGTCAAAAGCGAGGCAGGTTTGTTTTCCCCTTAGAGTCCGCCTGTAGGGGGACATGCCCGACCTAAGAGTAGCCACTGCCCTCCATCTAGGGGCGGGGGGGCGGTCGCTCCCCCCCCCTCCTCCTCCTCCTCCTCTTCCTCCTCCTCCTCCTCCTCGTCCTCTTCCTCCTCCTCCTCCTCCTCCTCCCCCTCCTCCTCCTCCCCCTCCTCCTCCTCCTCATCCTCCTCCTCCCCCTCCTCCTCCTCCTCCTCCTCCTCCTCCTCCTCCTCCTCATCCTCGACCTACTCGGAGGGCACCAACTATACACCAACACCGATCTTGGCCCAGGATCACCCTGGGCCCAGGATCGGTGTATATGCCTTCTTGCGCAAGGCAGGCGGGCGTATACACCGATCCTGGGCCCAGGGTGATCCTGGGCCAGGATCGGTGTTGGTGTATAGTTGGTGCCTTCCTAGTGGTGGCTCCTCTCGCTCTTGGACGAAGGGCGCCGTGGCGCCCCCTTCCGAGTGATCCCTTCCTTTCGCCCTGGCTGTGCAGGTGCATCTTTCGCAGCCGCAGGCCTGCCTGCCTGTCTACTCTTCTGTTCATGCACGTGCTGTGCTCCTTCCGTCTTCCGTCTCCCTTCTCTCCCTCTCTCTCTCTCTCGTTCTCTCCCTACCTCGTTGGCGATGGTCTCGGATTCGTGGGGGGGGGGGGATTTGTACTCCTCGTTCGTTTTTGTTTGCAAGCATGCTTGCGTTTGTGTGCGAGGCGGTGGAACGGTCCATTGCGCTGCACGCACACAGCAAAGGACATGCCTCAAGGTTCTGTCTATCCTCTTTCGGGCGAAGGGAACTATGCACATGCACCGATCCTGGCACGGCCCATTCTTGACCCAGGATCGGTGCATATACCTTCCTAGCCAAGGTAGGAGGGCGTATGCACCGAGCCTGGGCTCAGGGTGGGCCTGGCCAGAATCGGTGTATGTGCATAGTTATGTTTCCTCTACTCTTCCTTTTTTCTGTTTTTCTCTCTTTCCTCTAGTCTGTCCCCGCCCCCCTGGGCTTTTCTTCTGTCCTGCATCTTTTCTGTCCACGACGGCCAGTCGCGTTTCTTTTTGACCCCGACGCTTCGATCGACCATCGCACCGGGGCGTCCCACCCCGGAGATGGCAGCTGCCCGTGGGGCCGGTCGCCGTCCAAACAAAAACAACTCCTCCCCATTTGCGTCTCCATGTATCGGGGATGGACAGACCCCCATTTAGTAAAACGTGGTCTAGTGAAAACGACCTGAGGCCCAAACCCGGCGGGCGCGAGCCCGGAAAGCAACGGCCACGGCGCCCTCTCGAGAACCGAAAACGGACAATTCACTAATCGACGTGTCACTGTCGGGGGCTCTGTCCACCCCCGAGTGTAACACTCCTCCCTGCTCGCCTCCAGGCATGCTGCCCCTCGCACCGGCTGCCGCCTCCGCGGCGAGGATCGAGGCCAAGAGGCCCTCGCGACCGTCAGCGGCGGACCCGCACCACTCGTTCCTGCTCCCGAACGGGGTGCCCGTGCCGTTTCCGCCCCTGCACGCGCCGCGTGGGCCTCGAGCAGCCGCCAGGATCGGCGGCGAGCGGGGGGGGGAGAAGCGAGCAGGAGAGAAGCCTCCTCCTCCTCCTCCTCCTCCTCCTCCTCCTCCTCCTCCTCCTCCTCCTCCTCCTCCTCCTCCTCCTCCTCCTCCTCCTCCTCAGAAGGGCGCGGGGACATCTCCGAAGCCCTCGCGCCTCCTAAGAAGCGTGTTGTGTCTTCTCGCGGAGGGCTTGGGCAACTTCTCGGACGGCCGGGGGACTCCCGAGCCTTCAGAGGAGGCCTCCTCCTTCTCACTTCTCGAAGACGGAAGAACGCCATACACTTGATTTTTACTGGCGCTCCGCGAGGATTTCTTGGATCCGCGCTGGGGCCCCCCTGGCGGCGCATCTGGCGCCGAAATCCGCGCGGAACGCCAACAGTTTATGTTTATGCTGTTGTTTCTTCTTCTTGAGGAGGTCTTCTCTCGGCCTCTTATTTTCTATTGTTTCTTCTGGAGAAGGCATTTATTTGTTTGTTTTCTTCTCGAGATGGCGTTCTGTCTTCTAGAGAATGCGTTTTGTCGTATGTTATTATTATTATTATTATTCTTCTAGAGAAGGCCTCCTCCTTCTCACTTCACCCCCTCGCTCGCCGCCGCCATTAAGCAGGTAGGCCCCGACGGGAGCGGGTCCCGCGTGCTGCCGCCGCCAGAGGATTAGGGGGCTCCCGCAGGGCCCTCCCAGAAGAGAGCCCCTGGAGGACCGTCAAGGAGCACGACTCAGGGCGAGGAGCTGGTCCCTGGGGAACCGGGCGATCGCAAACATGGCTCAAGGGGGCGGAGTAGCGACGGGTCCCGTTTCCACGGGAAATCGCAGATTTCCGCCGCCGAGCGAGGCGGCACCGGCCGCCTTGTGGGGAGGGCACCTCCCCCGGCCCATGGATCTGGCGACCCCGCGCCAAATCCATGGATCGCTAATCCATGTTTGCGCGCCCCCGAGGGAAGGCACTGGGCCGCCGGGGCCCAGGCCCTTCCCTCCCAGACCACCTCGCGTTGTGAAGAAATCGCGACGGTTTTTTTTGTTACTGTTTTCGGCCCTGCCGGGGCCCTTCCCAGGTTCCAGGAGCGTCAAAAATTTATCCAGCCGGAGAATTTGGCCCCCAGGAAGGGTCCTGACTTTGAGGGGAGCGTCGTGAAAACATCACGACGTCGGGGGTCTGGGCTTCGAGTTATGTACGAGACGGGGATCCAAGGCAGGGGGGGGATAAGCCAGGGCGCCGGCTCTTTCATGATCCTGCAGAGTCAGGGGCGCCATGGCCCGGGCCATCGCGCAGGATCCTGCAGGATGTTGCAACAGCTCGAAACATCAAGCAAGATGATGGGGTCCAGGGCTCCAGTCGTGATTTTCCGCGATGCTGCATGTTTTGCGCCGTCGGACGCAAGGGACAGCCTGACTGACCCAGGTTTTCATTGACTCAGGTCCGTGCGTCCTGGATCGATGACCCGCCTCGCGCGCCTTCTGAGAAGTGTTGTGTGTCTCCGGGGAAGGCTTGGACAACTTTTCAGAAGGGCCTGAGGACTTCCGAGCCTTCTGAGGAGGCCTCCTCCTCACTTCGCGAAGAAGGATCCGCGCTGGGGCCTCCCCGGCGGCGCCTCCGGCGCCACCCTTGGCGCGCTGCGCGCGACAGGGAGGGGGGGCCAGCGCAGATCCAAGAGAGCCGCGCGAAGCGCCAAAAGTTCATTCTTATGCCGTTTTTCTTCTTCGAGAGAAGGCCTCCTCCTCACTTCCACCCCCGGCGCTCGCCACCAATCCACGCCCCGCTCGCGACGTGCCAGATCTGGTTGCGCACCCGCACAGCCTCGGCCTCCAGCAGGCTCGCCCGGGTCACCCCCTGCGGGGGCGCGGAGGTGGCCGTGCTTCTCTCGCGCCGCGCGGCGGCCTGGGCTGGGGGGCAACAGCGATACAAACCCAAACAAGACAAGTATCAGAGCGTGAATTGCCTACCCCGCTTTCGCTTCCAAGCAAAACCAAGTCATACCACGCGCCTCCTCGTCAAGCGGCCTGACCAGTACAGGCCGTAGTTTGGCATCGCTTGGTATCTCTCGGAAGCGAGGGTGGTCAAAAGCGAGGTAGGTTTGTTTTCCCCCTAACAAGACAAGTACACATGAGCACGAAAGCCCTCTTTGTTCTTCGGATGGTTGATCTGTTGCCGCTGTTTCTTTGCGCTTTCTCCCCAGGTGCTCGGGCGCTGCCGGGGGTGGCCCTGGCCCTGCAGGTGGCTCCAGGGAGGTCCAGGGCACACCCCGTCGCGAGGCCTGGAGGGCCCTCTATGTCTAGGCCTCCTCGATGGGGTCCGTGTAGATGGGGTCGGAGGATCGCGCCGCATCGCCGATGCATCGGCGATGCGGCTTGATGTGGAGCCCGTATTTCCCCACGCCGACGTCGCCGATGCATCGCCGACGTCGCCAGTGCATCGCCGATGCATCGCCGATGCATCGCCGATACATCGGCGATGCATTGGCGATGCGGCCCGATCCTTCGACCCCATCTATTCCGACCCCATCTAGGAGGCCTCTACTATGGGGCCTCAGGTGGAGCACGCGCAGATGGGCCATGCTTGCGCCGCACCGCTGGCGCCCACCGCCCACCAAGCCACCCCCCCGGCCCGGCACCCCAGACCAACCCTACACTCGGGACGCCCGACATGGGTACGGAAAGAATGGGTACAGTACCCGACAGCAGTTCTTGTTCATTTTGAACAGGGCTCGCTGTCCACGCCGCTGCGGCCCGTGTCAATTCGAGACAGGAGGCCGCCTGCCCAACAGCGGCCGCTGTTGGTTTGGGACAACATTTGCTGTTGGGCATTGTGCCCATTTTTTCAGTGCCCATTTCGGGCGTCCAATTTCATTCCGCTTGTCGGCACGATTCAACCAGCACGTCGAGTGCGACATCCCGTGAGGATCGCATGATCACACGCTGCATTTGCTGCGCCCCACGGTGGCGCGCCGACCAAGAGATCACAACATGACTAACTGCCAAGATGGCGTCATCGGGGTGTTCCAACCATGTGGCTGTTGCACCGCTGCACTGCATGGTGTCCACGTGGATTGGCACTGCAGGTTCAGACAGACAGCTGCAGTAGGAGTGAACCTGTGCTCGAGAAACCAGGGAGGAGCTACGTCATTGATCGCGCCCGACCAGCGAGTGATGTTTACAGTGCTGCGCAGTGCACATGTGTTACCCCTTGTTTCCGCGGGGGGGGTTCGTTGCCAGGTGAGGACGAGGAGCTCACCAAGGCTGAGCAGGCTTGCGTGATGGAATGCACGGCAGAGATTGGCGTTGGTCCGTGTTACATGCAGCGTCTCGATTATAGTTGGCACGTGTTTGTTAGGTCGTCTGGTCGGTTGATGGAGTCCGCGTGCATGTTTACAGCATTGCCCAGATGCACGCTTGGTTGAACATGGTGCGCGCAACTTCCATGTTATTGGACCGCTTGTCAGCCGCGCAACTCAAGACAGTCCTGGCGAAGTGGCGTGCAGTTGGCTTCATGCCACGGCGTTCGCCAAACGACGTAGATGTTCGCGGGGGCATGGTCTCCGAAGGTTGTCAAATGATCTTGAAGCATGCCACCACATTGGGTGGCTCCTGGAGGTCGCTAGAGGCTTCTGGCGGCTGGAGACTCCCAGACGAGAGAGAGGGAGAAGGAGAGGCTCCAGAGGGACATGCTATGTGATGGAAGCTTGAGAGTGTTCTGGGGGAGATCTGGGGGGGTTCTTCACTCTCCTCCCCATCATGCCTGCTCCCTTGCCCCTTGCACCCTCCTCCCGCTCCTCCTCCTGCTCCCCCCCCCCCCCCCCCACGCGACCCCCTCTCGCCTCATTTCTCGCGCACATATTCCAGTCATCTCTGCACTCGTCCCGCTCTGACTCGTGCCGACGAGGCGTTTGCTTTGAGGTGCCGTCCCTCCCCCTCCTCCTCGTCTTCCTCCTCCCCCTCCTCCTCCTCCTCCTTCTCCTCCTCCTCCTCCTCCTCCTCCTCCTCCTCCTCCCCATCCTCGCTCTCCCGTGCCCAGAGGCTCAGCGCCTTACAGGGCATCCGAGGTGGGGGAACAACACACATCGAGAGTGGAGAAAGACAGCTCCGTTGCATAGGCCACCCGTCCGCGGGAGCGCGGGGTGGAACGCGTGTCGCCTTCTGGGCCAGGGAGATGCTCGTCTCCTCACGGTAGGTGAAGTACTGACCATCCAGAATGGATCCTGAGGAGAAGCAGGAGGAGGAGGAGGCTACTTGGAGGAGGAGGAGGAGGAGGATCAGGGGGATGAGGAGGAGAAGGACGAGGAGGAGGAGGAGGGGGAGGAGGCGGAGGAGGAGGCGGAGGAGGAGGAGGAGCTGTAGACGTCGGGGGGTCCTCAGAGGTCTTTGCAGGCCCAGCAAAGAGAGCAAACCACCTCGGTCAAGGATCCTCGAACATCGATGCGATCGGGTCTGTTTCATGTGCAGGTCGACGTTACAGCATCAGGGGCACCCTTGTGCCCCGTCGATCGCATTCCAAGTCCTCTCCGTGTCTGGAGCACCGACTGCCCTCGGGAAATATGTGCTTCCTCGCGGGTGTCTGCTGCAGTGGATCCAGCAGTGGAGGTCGAGCCTCGACGTCGGAGGTCGACGATCCCTTGGATAGACACCATTTCGATATGATCGATCGGGTCCGATATCGATTCTGCCTCGCCCGATCCGATCCGATTCCGATGTTCTAGACACTTCGCGTTTCCCCACCAGGCCATCCAGCCACGATGCCCAGGCGCGCTGCATTGATCAGGGAAGTGCGGGAGCATGCAGTGGATCAAAGAGGGGGAGCAGCCGTCAAAACGAAGATCAGGACCAGCCCGAGCAGGACCAGGAGTTGCTCATACATGCATTTGCGTATGCGTCGATGCAGGAGCCCCTTGGCAGTTCACCAGGGCCATCTTGGAGCTTCAGGGGGCATTGGTTTCGCCTTTGAGACGCTCTTAGGGGCCTTCTGGGGGGCCTTGGGCGGCCTCTTGAGACCATCTCGGAGGTCATATATAAAAGGCTGGGGGGCCCATCATTAGCCTTGCCCCCCCTGAAGCCCCGTGACTCGCCTCTTGGGGCGCGCTAGGGCGCTCTCATGGCCATCTTGGGCTCCAATGGGCCGCTCTCTGTGAGGCTGCTTTTTTGGGCCGTCTGGGAGCTATCTGGAGGCCTCGGAAGCCCATCAGAAGTGACATGGCGAGAATACAGCACTGAATTGCTTAACTATGGTTCTGGAAGGATTTGGGCGTCTCGGAGCCTCCTTGGGAAGATCCGTAGCCACCTGGAGCCGTCTCAGGGGGGTCTTGGGGACTCTTGGAAGCATCTTAGAGGTCAACTGGAACCGTCTTGAAATGTCGTATGCCATCTCAGAGGCCACCTTGGGCTACGTAGAACCCTCTTGGAGCCATATTGGGCCTTATCCCCGCCATCATCTGTAGTCGCCGTACTTAGGCGTGCCCGTTCAACGTAGTCGGCACCGCCGTCGTCGTCGGTCGGTCGTCGTCGTCATCGCCGCTACCGTCTTCTCGGTCATCAGTCGTAGTCGTCGGTACCAGCCGTCTCCAAGCGATGTCGTCGTCGCCTCTTTGTTGGAGGCGGTACTGCTCTTCACCAGGCAGTCGAACTTGTACCAGATTCTCTCCGTCCCACAGCTCCGAAGGACGCCGGGTTCTTCTCCCAAACCTGTTTCTATTCTTCGTTCTCACGTGCCCTTTCTATTTCTCCGTTTTTCCCCTATCTGTCCTCCCCCCTCTTTACCCCTCCTCCCTTTCCTCCCTCCTCCCTCTCTTCCTGCCCCTCTTTTGCTCCCTCCCTTTCGCTCCTTCTCATCCTCTTCCTCCTCCCCCTTCTCCCCTTCTCCTCCTCCGATCTCTTCTCCCAGCCCCCCTTCGCTCCTCATTCTTGCTCTCGATGTCCTCGGAGGCCACACGTCATGGCTGGCGCGGAGGTGGTGTCCATTTAAAAGGGCGCTTTGTGACGCTGCTGGCACGGGAGAACTGTTCGGCCCCCCCCTCCCCCAAAACGAAGGGGGAAGGGGGAGGGTCCGGAATCTCTCTCCGAAAAATGATTCAGAGGGGTCCCGAATTGTTGTGGGCCCTAGAAACGGCAGGGCCGTTTTTTCACCGTTTCCGAAAAAGTGTTCCTTGAACATGGAAGCGGCAAGAAAACGGCGCTCGGAAACAGCAACAAACACGGCTCCAGGATTGGAACCGGAGCGGGAACCGGTAAAAGAACGGCGACGGAATTAGTAAAACAAAGGTATCGGATTTGGCAAACATACCGGCAAAACGGAACCGGTAACAAAAACGGCCCCGTCGTTTCCAGGGCCCACAAAGGTCCCGAACCCCTTCCTCAACCCCCCATGTTGAAGAGGAACATTTCTGGCTCGGTCCAGAACTTACCGCACCCCCCATGCCGCCGCCAGCAGACGACGACGACGCCGACGACGATGACGACGACGACGAGGACGATGATTTGGACGAGGACGTATCTGGCGGCAAACGACTACGACGTCGACGCCCGCAATTGACGACGACGGAAGCTGACGACGACGACGACGACGACGCTGGCGACGATGTCTACGATCTGGATGGCGATGATGGTGATGGTAATGGCGATGGTGGTGATGGTGGTGATGATGCTGATGATGATGCTGGTGATTGTGATGATCATAATGATCGTGGTGATGCTGACGATGCGGATGACGATGGTCATGGTAGTGATGACACAGATGGTGACTTCGAGGATGAGGATGCGCATAACGATTACGATGAAGGCCATGATGATGTAGAGGATGATGGTGATAGTGATGATGATGTTGGTGCTGATGAGGATATGATGGCGATGATGATGATCAGGATGAGGATGATGCCGTTGGCATTGCTGGTGATGATAATGCTGAGGACGAGGACCAGCTCGATGATGTGGATGAAGATGCTGATAATGATGGTGATGCTGATGATGTTTGTGAAGATAATCTCAATGACGATGATGATGATGATGATGATGATGATGATGATGATGGTGATGGTGATGGTGATGATGATGATGATGATGATGATGATGATGATGATGGTGAAATGTCAATGATGATGTGTCAGCGGCCGTCGTCGTCGTCCGTACTTGTCGACGGCGGCGACGATCAGGATGATGACGGTGATGATTACGATGAAGATGATGATATTTACGATATTGATGATGAATATGACGATTGTGCACGCGCGAACACTAACGGCCGGGTCGGGTCGGGTGGACAGTCACCAATGGGAGGGTCGGGTCGGGCGGGTGACCCCTCACGGGAGCGACGGCCAGGACGACAACGACGACGACGGCCGCTGGCAATCCATCATCATCACCATCATTATCGTCATCATCGTCATCATCACCATCATCGTCATCATCATCACCGCCATCATCATCATCACCATCTTCATCGGCATCGTCACCATTGGCATCGTCATCATTATCATGAGCATCATCATCACCATCATCATCATCATCGTCAGCATCATCATCATCGCCATCACCACCATCCTCATCTTCGTACTGACCACCATCACCAGCATCAACATCAGCATCATCATCATCATCATCATCGAATTAGCACGCGCGAACTCGAATGGGCGGGTCGGGTCGGGCGGGCGGACCCATGCGGGCGTGTCGGGCCGGGCCGGCGAACCCTAACGGGCGAGTCGGGTCGGGAGGGCGGGACAGTACCGTATGACGCATCGCCAATTTAGCACCTGCGAACCCGAACACGCGGGTCGGGTCGGTCGGGCGAACCACAACGGGCGGGCGGGGTCTGGGCGGGGAGCCATACCGGGCGAGTTGATGAATATGACCATGTTGATGAGAATGATAATGATGATAGTTCTGGTGACGGTGATGATAATGATGATGATGAGAATGTTGACAGCGATGTTGTTAATGTTGGTGATGGTATTGATGATGCGAATGATTGCGACAGTGATAATGATGAGGAGGAGAGGGGTAAGGAAGTGGATGGCAATGATTATTACGATGATGTGTTTGATGATGATAATCAACACGATTGTATGATGGTATTGATGGTGATGACGATACTGACGATATTGATGATGATGATGATGATGATGATGATGATGACGATGATGATGATGATGATGGCAACGAGGATGATGACGAAGATGAGCCTGCTCGTGATGAAGAGAGTCGTAGTGGCGATGATGCTGATGATGATGGTGCTGGTGATACCTTCGACGAAGACGATGATTATGATGATACTGATGATCATGATGATAATGATTATGGTGGTGATGATGCTGGTAGTTCGCCGACGAACTTCGTCGTCGTCCGTCGTCGTGGTCGTCTGTGTCGTCTTCGTCATCGTCGTCGTCGTCGTCATTGTCGATGTCGTCGTCGTCATCGTTGTCGATGTCGTCAGTGTTGACGTCGTCGTTGCCGTTGTCGTCGGCGTCGGCGTCGACATCGTCGTCATCATCCGTCGTCCGTTGTCCTTCGTCGTTGTCCGCGTCGTTTTCTGGCGATGTCGTCGTCGTCCGCCTCGTTTTTTGGCGACGCCGTCGTCGTTGTCGTCGTAATGGTCGTCGGTATCGTCGTCGTCGTCGTCGGCTGTCGGCGTCGTCCTCGTCGTCTGCCGGCGGTGGCGGCGGGGGGGGCGGGCGGGAGGGGCTCTGGAACCTTCCAAACATTTTCTCGTGGGGGGGGATTCTGGACCCGCCCGAAAAATTGTTGGTCGGTGGGGGGGTCGGGCCAGACGAAAGGTGGGGGATAGGGAAAGGGGGGGGGGGTACGAAATCTGCTGCATGCAGCTGGTTTCGGCCCCACCGCCGGGCCCATTCCTCGATACATGGGCGCCTCCCGGCGCCGGGAGGCGCCGGGAAAATCAGCTGCGCGAGCTGATTCTCAAACGTTCCCCCTTTGCTATCCCCCCCTTTCGCCCGGCCCGAGGGGAGGGGGGTGTTCTGGACCTCCCTTTTCGTGGTGGGGCTGGGCGGGTGTACGGGGGGGGGGGGGCAACCCCTAGTTCCTGGCCCCCTAGTTTCTGGCCCCCCCCCCCCTTTCGCCCGGCCCGAGGGGAGGGGGGTGTTTCGGACCCCCCTTTTCTTGGTGGGGCGGGGCGGGCGTACGGGGGGGGGGACCCCCTAGTTTCCGGCCCCCCCGCCCCGTAGCATTTGCTCGGGCCGGCGACGGTGGATCGGGCTTCCTCGTCCTCGTCGATCCCGTCGATCCGACTCGATATCAATTCTGCCTAGCTCGATTCGATTCGACAGTTCGACGATTCGAAGCTGGCCGCAGCTTGCATGGTGCCGGCTCGATTCCGATTCCGCGCGCGATGCAACCCGACCCGAAGTCGTTTCGATTCGATCCGATTCCCCGATCCACTGTTGGTCGGTCCTGAGAGGTTGAGGATCTAGTAGCCGCCACGGGTGGAGAACCCAGAGGCCCCAGCCGGCACGGCCGAGCTGGCCTTCAAGGCCAGATCAGGGCGCGTTCCGTGCTTCGGCCTTGTGGTCGGCTTTGAGGATGGACGAGTGGGGATCCTCCTGCCCCTGCTCGTCTTCTTCGTCCTTCGGGGGGGGGCCCTCGTCAAGATGGCTGCACGCGTAGTGGGAGGATGAAGACGAGATGCCCCAGCGACGACCTTGATCTCGGATGAACGCCCTTGAGGAGGCCCCTAAGATTGGATGGCCCCCGACGGCCCTGAGGATGGACGGCTCCCGACGACCCTGACCGAGGTTGGTGGCCTTTGAGGAAAGCCCCTGAGGAGGAATGGCCCCCCACGACCCTGAGACTGGACGGCGCCCGACGACCCTGACCCAGGCTGGTGGCCCCCGAGGAGGAACAGGAGGATGAGTGGCCCCCGACGGCCGAGAACGGACGGTACCCGACGACCTTGACCGAGTCGGGAGCCTTGAGACGGGGGGCGATGCAAACGGGGGTCAGCCAGGGCACCAGATCCTGCAGGATCCTGCGAAGTCCCCTTCTCGCTGACCCGGGTTAGCGAGCCGCTCGTGGCCGCGAGGCGGCCGCGCATATTGGGTGACCCGGGTTTGCGAAGATCTGCGTTGCAGTTTTTGTTCCTGCATTGCAGTTTTTGGTTTCCTGCTGACCCGGGTCTGGATTGACCCGGGTCAGAAGATCCCCGACCGAGGATGGTGCTCTAGTCCCTTCCCGAGATTGCTGTTTCTCCTCGGACACTTTTCGCGGCGGCCCCTTGAGCTCGAGAGTAAGTTACACCACGATTAGAACAGGGTGAGGAAACGACCATATCTTCGAAGCCGAAACGACGCCAGGTGGCGAGGTGCGGGAGGAGAAGGAGAAGGAGGAGGAGGAGGAGGAGGAGGAGGAGGAGGAGAAGGGGGAGGGATCGAGGATCGAGGATCGAGGAGGGATCGAGGAGGAGGAGGAGGAGGAGGAGGAAAAAGATCGAGGTGGGGAGAGGAGGGCAGGACGTCGATCCCTCGATCGTCCTGGACGCTGAGGGCTGTGCCGTCACGAGACCGAAGCCATAGTCCGAGCCTCCTTGTTCTAGGCCTTCCAGATAGAGTCGGAGCCGATGGGGTCGGATGATCGCGCCGCTTCGCCGGTGCATCGAGGATGCGGCTTGATGTGGGGCTCGATTTTCTCCATGCCGACGCCGCTGATGTGTCGGCGAAGCATCGTTGTTGCATCGCCGATGCGGCGCGATCATCCGACTTCATTTACTCGGACCACATCTCGGAGGCCTCTAGTCACGAGACCGAAGCCATAGTTCGAGCCTCCTAGTCCTCCTCCCCATCGATCCTCGAACCCCCTGTTCGTAATTACTCTTGCCACTCAATAAAGGTGTCTTGAAGGAGACGAGCCGTAGAACACGGCGCCAGCTTCATGGTTTCACCTGGGCGGGCATGGCGACGACGGTGTCACGACGGTAGGATTACTTGCCGAATCCTCAGTTTCAACGTTTCCAGCACCATCATTCCTCGCGTGGTGGTCCTACCTGTGGTCGTGGTGGGCGGGGACAAGACCCCGGGCATTCTCCAGGACCAGCTCTTCACACTGAGTCCTTTCTGATGGCCCCGGGGCCCGTCGAGGGCCACAGGGGCCCCATGTCGGCGACACGCTTCATATGTCGGCACCCGGTCCCTCCATATGACCCGTGCCCACCGCTCCGCAAGCCTCCACCGTCTTGGCATCGCTCGGACGTGTGCATGATCTCTCGGCGAGGGCCCCCGAGGGGCACCCTGGCCCGTCTCGCGAACAGATCCAAGGTGCACGGAGAATGGGCGCCCGAGCGATGGCAAGGCACAAGAGCGCGCGCGGATGCCCCCGCGGGATCTATGGCGAGACGAGGCGGCGAGACGAGACGGGACGACGGCGAGACGAGCACGCAGTCCGGCCAGCGGCCGGCTCCGCGAGGGGCGCCCGTGCTGGGGCCGCAGCTCTCAGTGGTCGACGAGCTCGTCGGCAGAGTCCAGCCGGTCACCAGAAGGGTCAGTTACGCCCAGCATCGCGGAGTCTTGCCCCTCTTCCAGGAGAGAGAGAGAGAGAGAGAGAGAGAGAGAGTGACAGTCGCCCGCCCACGGGCTCTGCGACGGGGGCGGCGTCGAAGGGGGCGTCCGAGCGATGGCAACTGGCGGTGAGGGGCCTGTTTTTCACCACCACCACCAGAAGTTGGAGGGGGGAACGAGGAGGAGGAGGAGGGGGAGGGGGAGGAGGAGGGGGAACGAGGAGGAGGAGGAGGAGGAGGAGGAGGAGGAGGAGGAGGACCCCCTCCCCCTCCAACTTATGGTGGTGGTGGTTGAAGACAGGCCAGGCCCATCGTGTGGGAGCGCGCGCGCGAGCGCCCCCCGCAGGATCTACGACGAGGGCGGCATCGAGGGCCTGGCGCAGCGCGTGCCCCGGCTCCACAAGGGCCTCCTGGAGCGGGGCGGGGGCCCGCCGCCGCCCGCCTGCGTCGCTCGGGTCCTCGGCATCGCTCGGACGTTTTTTTTTTTTTTTTTTTTTTTTTTTTTTTTTTTTTGTGTGTTTGTATATTAGTTTTTAAAAGCAGAGAATTGCTATACTTATATATAATAGTATATATATATGTCGGTAAAGGCCATCGAGCAGCTTCCTGGATCATCCTGGAAGGCAGCCCGCAACAACAAGCGCGCACGGAGCCGACGGACGCGTGGGGAACGTGATCGTTGTCTTGCTCACGGTGTTGTCGATCGGCGAGGGCCATGGGCGGAAGAAGAACAAATGCCAAACGTGCATGTTTTTGGCGCTTGTTCTTCCAGACCTGGATCATCCTGAAAAACGCCTGCAACAAAGAACACGCACGAAACCGAAGAACGCGTGGGGAAGGGGCGTCCGAGCGATGGCAAGGAGTAGGGGATCGGCTTCGGAATTG